AAACTTTTTCTTATTTTCAACAAAATTTGTTGATAACATCTCACCCACTCTCTCATTTGCTCTCTTTTTACATTGCTTCACCACTCTCTTAACCTCTCTCGTTTTCTCCATATACTCTTCCCTCCTTGCATCACTTCTACTTTGTAAAAACTTCTCATATGCTAACTTTTTCTCCCTTACTACTCTCTTTACATCATCATTCCACCAATCACTCCTCTTCCCTCCCACACCCACTTTCCTGTAACCACAAACTTCTGCTGAACACTCTAACACTACATTTTTAAACCTACCCCATACCTCTTCGACCCCATTGCCTATGCTCTCAATAGCCCATCTATCCTCCAATAGCTGTTTATATCTTACCCTAACTGCCTCCTCTTTTAGTTTGTAAATCTTCACCTCTCTCTTCCCTGATGCTTCTATTCTCCTTGTATCCCATCTACCTTTTACTCTCAGTGAAGCTAAAACTAGAAAGTGATCTGATATATCTGTGGCCCCTCTATAAACATGTACATCCTGAAGTCTACTCAACAGTCTTTTATCTACCAATACATAATCCAACAAACTACTGTCATTTCGCCCTACATCATATCTTGTATACTTATTTATCCTCTTTTTCTTAAAATATGTATTACCTATAACTAAACCCCTTTCTATACAAAGTTCAATCAAAGAGCTCCCATTATCATTTACACCTGGCACCCCAAACTTACCTACCACACCCTCTCTAAAAGTTCTCCTACTTTAGCATTCAGACCCCCTACCACAATTACTCTCTCACTTGGTTCAAAGGCTCCTATACATTCACTTAACATCTCCCAAAATCTCTCTCTCTCCTCTACATTCCTCTCTTCTCCAGGTGCATACATGCTTATTATGACCCACTTTTCGCATCCAACCTTTACTTTAATCCACATAATTCTTGCATTTACACATTCATATTCTCTTTTCTCCTTCCATAACTGATCATTCAACATTACTGCTACCCTTCCTTTGCTCTAACTCTCTCAGATACTCCAGATTTAATCCCATTTATTTCCCCCACCGAAACTCCCCTACCCCTTCAGCTTTGTTTCGCTTAGGGCCAGGACATCCAACTTCTTTTCATTCATAACATCAGCAATCATCTGTTTCTTGTCATCTGCACTACATCCACGCACATTCAAGCATCCCAGTTTTATAAAGTTTTTCTTCTTCTCTTTTTTAGTAAATGTCTACAGGAGAAGGGGTTACTAGCCCATTGCTCCCGGCATTTTAGTCGCCTCATACGACACGCATGGCTTACGGAGGAAAGATTCTTTTCCACTTCCCCATGGACAATAGAAGAAATAAAGAAGAACAAGAGCTATGTAGAAAAAGGAGAAAAACCTAGATGTATGTATATATACATGCATGTGCATGTCTGTGAAGTGTGACCAAAGTGTAAGTTGGAGTAGCAAGATATCCCTGTTATCTAGCGTGTTTATGAGACAGAAAAAGACACCAGCAATCCTACCATCATGCAAAACAGTTACAGGTTTCTGTTTCACAGTCATCTGGCAGGACGGTAGTACAGTGGACCCCCGGTTAACGAACTTTTTTCATTCCAGTAGTATGTTCAGGTGCCAGTACTGACCGAATTTGTTCCCATAAGGAATATTGTGAAGTAGATTAGTCCATTTCAGACCCCCAAACATACACGTACAAACGCACTTACATAAATACACTTACATAATTGGTCGCATTTGGAGGTGATCGTTAAGCGGGGGTCCACTGTACTTCCCTGGGTGGTTGCTGTCTACCAACCTACTAGCTATTGAAGCATATATGTGAACAGTATTTAGATAAAGGTAGGGAAGTTTTTATTGCATTTATGGATTTAGAAAAGGCATATGATAGAGTGGATAGGGGAGCAATATGGCAGATGTTGCAAGTATATGGAATAGGTGGTAAGTTATTAAATGCTGTAAAGAGTTTTTATGAGGATAGTGAGGCTCAGGTTAGGGTGTGTAGAAGAGAGGGAGAATACTTCCCGGTAAAAGTAGGTCTTAGACAGGGATGTGTAATGTCACCATGGTTGTTTAATATATTTATAGATGGGTTGTAAAAGAAGTAAATGCTAGGGTGTTCGGGAGAGGGGTGGGATTAAATTATGGGGAATCAAATACAAAATGGGAATTGACAGTTACTTTTTGCTGATGATACTGTGCTTATGGGAGATTCTAAAGAAAAATTGCAAAGGTTAGTGGATGAGTTTGGGAGTGTGTGTAAAGGTAGAAAGTTGAAAGTGAACATAGAAAAGAGTAAGGTGATGAGGGTATCAAATGATTTAGATAAAGAAAAATTGGATATCAAATTGAGGAGGAGGAGTATGGAAGAAGTGAATGTTTTCAGATACACGGGAGTTGACGTGTCGGCGGATGGATTTATGAAGGATGAGGATAATCATAGAACTGATGAGGGAAAAAAGGTGAGTGGTGCGTTGAGGTATATGTGGAGTCAAAAAACGTTATCTATGGAGACAAAGAAGGGAATGTATGAAAGTATAGTAGTACCAACACTCTTATATGGGTGTGAAGCTTGGGTTGTGAATGCAGCAGTGAGGAGGGGGTTGGAGGCAGTGGAGATGTCCTGTCTAAGAGCAATGTGTGGTGTAAATATTATGCAGAAAATTCGGAGTATGGAAATTAGGAGAAGGTGTGGAGTTAATAAAAGTATTAGTCAGAGGGCTGAAGAGGGGTTGTTGAGGTGGTTTCCTCATTTAGAGAGAATGGATCAAAGTAGAATGACATGGAGAGCATTTAAATCTGTAGGAGAATGAAGGCGGGGTAGGGGTCGTCCTCGAAAAGGTTGGAAGGAAGGAGTAAGGGAGGTTTTGTGGGTGAGGGGCTTGGACTTCCAGCAGGCGTGCATGAGCGTGTTTGATAGGAGTGAATGGAGACGAATGGTATTTGGGACCTGACGATCTGTTGGAGTGTGAGCAGGGTAATATTTAGTGAAGGGATTCAGGGAAACTGGTTATTTTTATATAGCCGGACTTGAGTCCTGGAAATGGGAAGTACGATGCCTGCACTCTAAAGGAGGGATTTCGGGATATTAGCAGTTTGGAGGGATATGTTGTGTATTTTTATATGTATATGCTTCTAAACTGTTGTGTTCTGAGCACCTCTGCAAAAACAGTAATTATGTGTGAGGTAAAAGTGTTGAATGATGATGAAAGTGTTTTCTTTTTGGGGATTTTCTTTCTTTTTGGGTTACCCTGCCTCGGTGGGAGACGGCCGACTTGTTGAAAAAAAAAAATTGTAAATACTTATAATTGCACTGAGTGAAGGAAAATATAATTCAAAGTCATTCAGCTGTGTTTGTCCTGCTCCTTGCTCCCCTTTACACCCAGGATAACAGGCCTTATTGTTCCTGGGTTGTAATATCTGTTAGATAAACTGAAGAACTTACGAGAGAAATAGAGTTACACTCCTGGAAGCCCCAAAAAAGCCAAACAACTTTTTTTAGACCTCCAGCTCTTATAAAAATAAAAGTGAATATGTAATTGTAGTTCACTGTCATGATGTATTATGCTGTTTTTACTGCTTAAGACTACAAATGCAACAGAAATAATAGTATTTCTTACCTTAAATTGTGGGTGCTGGTGTTTGTGGATGATTGTGAAGAGAGTGGAGAGTTATGTTGTGGTCCTACTGGGCTGAGGTGGATGGTAGAGGTTCTGGTACTGAAGCTGATGGTTGTACTGGAGTGTGCATAAATTCCATAATGGATTTCTGTTCTATTTTAACCCGCAGTACATTATAAAACTGACGGCAAGGCATCAGCTGCTCTAGACACCGTTTCAGGGTCCTCTTCAGTGAAAAACTCTAAGTCAGTCAGTCAAGTCAGTCAGTAAATCAATCAGTCAAGTTAGTAAATCAGTCAGTAACTCAGTCAAGTCTGTCAGTAAATCATTCAAGTCAGTCAGTAAATCAGTGAAGTCAGTGAAGTCAGTAAATCAGTCTAGTTAGTCAGTAAAGTCAGTCAAGTAAGTCAGTCAGTCAGTTTAGTCAGTTATTCATCACACAAACTCATATATTTACCTCATTCTTTTTAATTGCACAAACTGATGCTTCATTAACCCTTAAACGGTCCAAACAGATCGATGTTCAAATCCGTAGTGCTCCAAACATAGATCTACGTTTTTTTACATATTTTCGAAAATAACAAAAAAACAAATGTAGATAAAAGTTTTTTTACACATTTTCAAATGAAAAAAAAAGATGATCTACATTTTTTTACATAATTTCAAATGTTGAAAAAACGTATATAAACGTTTGGACCATTTAAGGGTTAAGGCCACAGGCTATCTCTTGTCTAATATCTCTGTTTTCTTTGTTAACTCTAAGACTTAAATGCTTATACCATTTCTTGCCACTTTCAGCAACACTGGTATGCTTATTGGGTGCCATGATTGCTTGGCCGATACAAGATATGGTAATTAAATGATCAAAACACAATTCATAAACACAGCTAGCTCCGAGGGGGCATTCGTACTGGATACATATTTACCAAGGCTGTAATGGGGGTATCGGGAGTGTTAGGGGTGGCAGGGGATGGCAGGAAGTCTCCCCTGCTGATCCACAACAAGGCAGCAGCTTGAGCTGGGGAAATTTTTTCTATGCCCGCAAACGGAACCGTATAAAGTTAATTTTACAAAGTGTTGTATAAAACTGTGCAGCAATTTTTCAACAGTGCAATAACCAAAACATGACAAATAAATCTGCATAACATAATGGTCTACTGTACCACCCTTTAAGGCTAGGTGTACCTTGATTTAGATTTTTTTATTTTTAACTTAACAGCTGTCTCCTGCTTCCTTCTGTAAATATGGTATTCATAAATGTAAAGTTGAATGTCAACACCCACAAGCATTCACAAGCTACTGTCCAGAAAACAAAACAAAAAGTAAAAATGTAAAAACTAAATGAAGACAGCAAAACAAAAAGGGATACCTAACAATAAAATTAGTACCTTACCTGATAAAGTAACTAAAAGTTCCTTTGCAGGTGAGCATTCTAGAAATTCTTCTATACAAGTAGTTCCAGCAGTTCCTAGCTGGCGCAGGTTCCCCCCACATTCATAGTACAACTTCACAAACTCTGGATACTCCCTACAGAGAGAGTTTTGTGTCAAAGAAATATACTGGTAAAGGTATATAAAATTTAAAATTTTCACTGTTATTTAATAAGTAAAGTTATGTACTAAATAGTATAGTATGTGTACATCACGAATTGCAGTTGAATAACCTGTATCATACTTTACAATCTGCAGCTGTAAAACATTTAGAAATTTATTTACATCTATGGAATATGACATATATTAACCTTTACACTGTCCAGACCCCTGAAATTAATATTGCTCAGTGTAGACTTTTTAAAAAGAAAATCTGAAATGGTAGAGAACTTTTTTCTGAAGATAATGATTCCACAGGTACAAAATCTGATGGAAAACTTACGGAATTATGCAGGTGCGAAGTTAGTGATCTCTGTGCAATTTACGCATCAGTGCTTTCACCCACAGCCAATTCCACTGTTCCTAATTCTTAGCTATTTTGCTTGTATGCCTTCCATTCTATCAAATATGAGCACAAGAAACCGCCCATTCAACTACAGGTCTCCCTCAACATTCGTGAGGGTTAGGGGATCACGACCCTCGCGAATGTTGAAAAATCATGAATGTTTGGTGCCCCAATATATTGTAGGGAAATATAATACAATACTGAATCCTTAACCTACTGAGCCATGAACAATCATAAAACACACGAAAACATCGTAAAATACATACATGTGGAAATATAAACACATATGCAGTATAATGTGATCCTTTAATGACAATGTTTCGCCCGCACGGTGGGATTTTTCAAGTCACAAACAGATCTACCTGGGGTGGAAGGTACATGAGTATTTATAGTCAGGTTCAGAATGCTGTGGTCAGGTGGAGAATGCTACATCTGATAATCTACCGAGTGAGGTTATAGAGTCTAAAATCTTGGGTAGCTTGTAAGGGAGATTGGATAAGTTTGTGAGCAGACCTTCTGCAGTGTTCCTTCATTCCTATTTTCTTATGTGGGATAGCGATGAAGAAGTTTCTTGGCAAGTGGTTCAGCTATGTTATAGAAGCCATTGAACCACCTGCCAAGAAACTTCTTCATTGCTATCCCACATAAGAACATAGGAATGGAGGAACAATGCAGAAGGTCTTCTCACAAACTTATCCAATCTCCCTTCCAAGCTACCCAAGATTTTAGACTCTATAACCCCACTCGGTAGATCATCAGATGCAGCATTCTCCACCTGACCACAGCATTCTGAACCTGACTATAAATACTCGCGTACCTTCCACCCCAGGTACACCTTCATCAACCAACGATCTCGCCTCTCTAATTACCCCGTGTTGAGAGTGGCTTTCCTCAGTGGTGGTTACTGGACCTTCGTCTTCACCATCAGGATTGGTGCATCGGTGGCCGCCTACCGAAGGGCAGGAAGCCTCCCTCTGCACTCCTGTTGCTGTCTTAAGTCTCCACGCCGACTGTACGTGTAGTCTACATGCCATACAGCCAGTGTTGCCTCTCCTCGCTGCTGTCTGAAGTCTCCATGCCTCAGCCTGTATGTGAAGCCTCCATGCCATACAGCTAGTGTTGGCTCTCCTCACTGCTTGCAGCCAGTGTTGCCTCTCCTCGCCGAGTGGTGGTTACTGGACCTTCGTCTACACCATCAGGATTGGTGCGTTGGTGGGTGCCTACCCAAGGGCAGGAAGCCTCCCTCTGCACTCCTGTTGTTGTCTGAAGTCTCCATGCCTCAGCCTGTACATGTAGTCTGCACACCATACAACCTGTGTTGCCTCTCCTCGCCGCTATCTGAAGTCTCCATGCCTCAGCCTCTATGTGAAGTCTGCACACCATACAGCCAGTGTTGCCTCTCCTCACCGTTCACAGCCAGTGTTGCCTCTCCTCACCGTTCACAGCAAGTGTTGCCTCTTCTCACCGTTCAGGGCATACAGTGCTCCATCAAGCTACAGCTCACCTCCTCAGTGTCCTATGCCTCCAGCGACAGACTCCACAAGAAAACTTTAAAGTTATAGCCAGGCAAGTACATGTATGTGTGTTTACTTCACACATACTTGCCTAGCTGTGTATTCTAACAGATTTGGCCGCCACAACTGATTTACAATGCCTTCAATGCCTTCCACCTCCTATCCCTTACCACTCCTCCTCTACCGCCAACACCTGCCTCTACTCCGTCTACTCCTGCCGCTAAGGCCTACCCTGCCTCTACCTCTTCCAAACCCAATTCTTTCTCGCTTAACCTCAAATACTCTAATTCTGATCATGCCACTATCTGTCCTGGAAATTTATTGTACAACATCACTGGTGCACCCCAGCTGAAAGTCTTTAAAACCAACTCAGGCTTCAAACTCCTTCTTGACAGACATTCTTACGAAGCGTACACCTCAACCCAGACCAAAAAAAAACTTCTCAATGCAGGCTTCACTATTATTTAGACTCCTGAGCACCGCACCAAATGCACAGTGGTCGCAAAACATGTAGACTATTCTCTCCTGACTGCCTATGACACAGACAAAGAATACTTTATCAAAGACATTAGTACTAAGAACAAAGTCTCTGTTGACGATATTTACAGACCTGAAAACTCTACCATCCTCAAAATACGCTGTTCAATTCCTTCTGACGCCTCTACATTCTTCAATCAAGGAATCCTTGTCAAGACCATCCGCATTCCTCCAAACACTCTCTTCACTCTGAACTTCCACCCCATCACACGTCTGAAATGCTACAAATTCGGCCATGACAAAAACTCATGCACATCCACACAAATCTGCTCAAGATGTTCAGCAACTGGCCACTGGCCCAGTCAGCTAGCCAATACCGTGAATACCGAATTACAGAAAATATCTACCTGGATGATGACTAACAAACTTACTCTCAACATTGACAAAACCTACTTCATTCAGTTTGGAAACAGAGCTACAGATGTCCCTCTTAACATAATGATAAACGGATCACCTATCACAAAGCTCACAGAGGGAAAATTCTTAGGAATCCACCTTGATAATAGACTCAAATTTCAAACACATGTTCAACAAATTTCCAAGAAAATTTCTAAGACCGTAGGCATACTATCGAAGATACGGTACTATGTTCCACAGTCAGCCCTCCTGGCCTTATATCACTCACTTATTTACCCCTATCTCACCTATGGAATTAGTGCATGGGGCTCAACAACAATAAACCATCTCAGACCATTAATTACCCAACAAAAGGCTGCAGTCAGAATGATAACAAATTCCCACTATAAGCAGAATACTCCACCAATATTCAAAACTCTAAACCTACTCACCGTACAAAACATCCATACTTATTATTGTACCTACTACATACATAGAACACTTAACTCGGATATAAACCCTCCCCTCAAACGTCTCCTTACCAACCTCGACAGAACACATGACCATAACACAAGGCACAGATCACTCTTTGATGTTCCTCGTGTCCATCGCACACTATGCAAAAACTCAATGCACATAAAAGGCCCAAAAATCTGGAATTCATTACCTGTGAATATAAAAGAAACACTGTCTGTTTATAAATTCAAGTCTCTTCTTAAAAATCACTTACTCACCCACAACTAAATAAATACTGAATAATTGTATCTCATAAATGTTTAACCTATGACCCTATCAAACTTTGTTTTTTTTAATTACATTTCCTAACATAATACTCCATTCTATTGAATGCACAGCAACTCAGCAAATGACCATATGACCTGTCTTTGAAATACTCATTTGTGCTTAATTGTTATTTGTTTACTATAATTTTTACCACTGAATATATCATTGCTTAGTTAATCTTAAGTTAATTTTAAGCCTGCCCATAATGCTCTGCATACAAGGGGCTTTTGGCATGTTACACTTAACCACTGTATTTCTTTATACATCTATGTATCATGTCCAAATTAATAATAAATAAATAAGTAAATTAATACTTGCAACCTCCCCCTTAAATGTTCTAACTGCAGTGGGTCACACACTGCAGTTGCAAATTCCTGCCCTTCTTGAAAAGACATTCTCTCCTCCCTCAGAGCAAGCCAACCTCCCTCCTCCCTCCCCAACCCCTTCCCTGTACTGCTCCCCCCTTCCATACCTCCCTCCCCTACCCCCAATGCCTGGGTTACTCCACGCACTTGGTCTACCTCTTCTACTCTACACACATCAAACACCAACACACAGACTACAAGCACCTCTCCTTCTACACCTACACCCACACTAGACTACAAAACTAATTGTCAACTCGTCACTGCTGCCCACTCTGTGATGGTAATCTCTCAAGCTTACCAATCAGACTACTCACATGTCCTTAACCTAATCTTGTCTGCAAACAATCTTCCCTCTTTAATTATCCCTCCCTCCTGCTTCTCTTCTAAGCCCCCTACAACCTCTCCCTCCTCCCTCTCTCCCACTCCCCCACTTCTAATACCCACCAGCTCTCCTCCTCCCCTACCCCTCTTCACTACTTCCACCCCTCCCACCAACACCCCTACTGCTGCTGCTATGACCACCCCTCCCCCCACCTCCATACCCACTTCCTCATCCCCAACCAAAGCTCCCACTTCTTCATCCCTTACCATAGCTTCCACTTCCTCATCCCCTGCCAAAGCTTCCACTTCCTCTGCATTCACCTTTGCCCACTCCTCCACCACAACCAAAACTTCATCCAGGTCCAACTCCTCCTCCAGACAAAACCCACTCAAACCTAAACCTGCTCCAACTTCTGACAGACAGACCAAAAAACATAAAACTAGATCCATCTCTTCCTCCCCTTCCAGGAAACGGGTCCATAACACCTACAAACACACATCCACCGATGGCACCACTATCACGGGCTTTAATCCAAACTCCTCCCCCGACATTAACTTTGCTATGACGAAATCATTAAATCATGTTTAACCCTTTGAGGGTTTTCGTCGTACTAGTACGTCTTACGCCTTACGCGTAGGGGTTTTTGTCGTACTAGTACGCATAAATTCTAGCGGCCTCAAATCTCACAGGAAAAGGCTGATAAGCCTAGATGTGAGAGAATGGGTCTGTGTGGTG